CTTGGCAAACGATTAATGATATTTAAGGAAGAAATAGAAAGGTTAAACTACCGCAATTTATCTTGAAAAATGGCAAACAAATATCTAATGAAAAGGAAATGGCTGATTCTTTCAATTCATATTTTACTAATGTCGGTGCATCAGTTGCCAACGATGTTCAGTCAACATCTCACCACTTTTCGGAATACTTGAATCCAAGGACTTCGGAATCTCTGTTTTTTAATCCTACAAGTGAATGTGAAATTATACAGATTGTGAAGGATTTGAAATCTAGTTCCTCGTGTGGGTATGATGGTATAAGTACCAATTTTGTGAAAAAATTATACATCATATTTCCTATCCTCTAAAACACATTTTCAATTTGTCTTTGTCCACAGGCGTCGTCCCAGACAACCTAAAGAGAGCAAAAATAATTCCTGTTTATAAAAAGAATGATCCAAATTTAACCAAAAACTATCGCTCTATATCTCTACTTCCAACTCTTTCAAAAATCCTCGAACGCATTATATTTAAAAGACTCTATAGCCATCTGTCTAGAAAGAGCATTCTAACAAAATACCAGTTTGGATTCAGACCCAACCACTCCACGGAAATGGCACTTTTACACGCCTTAGAGCATATTACCTCATGTTTAGATAAAAAAGAATATACTTTAGGGATATATATTGATTTAAGTAAGGCATTCGATACCTTAAATCATAACATAATGTTACAAAAATTGAAAAATTATGGCGTACGTGGTATACCACATGACTTGTTTGTTAATTATCTCAGCAATAGAAAACAATTTGTTAGCTTTAAAGGTTTAAGTTCTGAGACAATGCCTGTGGTATGTGGAATTCCACAAGGGAGTATAATTGGTCCTTTGTTATTTCTGATATATATGAATGATATAATTATTAATACATCTGAATTATTACATTTTGTTTTATATGCAGACGATACCAACATATTTATTTCACTTGCTGATAAAAATACTCTTCAAAATTATGCAAATGTCGAATTAAACAAGATCTCTTGCTGGTTCAAAGCTAACAAATTATTTCTCAATACTGACAAAACTAAATATATGTTTTTTTGTTCAAATAAGCGCCAACAACTTCAATTTGATTTTTCGATAAAACTAAATAACCTTGAAATACAAAGAGCAAGCAGTATCAATTTCCTAGGAGTACAGATAGATGATAAGCTAACTTGGGTTAATCACATCAACTCCATTCGTGGAAAGATTAGCAGGTCTATAGGTATGTTGAGTAAGCTAAGTTATTTTCTACCGCTCAAAACCCTTTTCACTTTATACAATGCCATTGTCCTGCCTTATTTCGATTATTGTAGTCTTGTATGGGGAGGGGCCAGCTCGTGTCATTTAAACAGGCTACATACTTTACAAAAGAAAGCCATTCGTCTATGCTCAAACTCCCATTATCTTGCCCATACCCCGCCGTTGTTTAAGAAACTGAATATACTAAATTTCTCTGATAATATAACAATTAAAACAGTCTTTATGTACCGTTATTCGAATTTTTTGTTACCACCCGTGTTTGATAATTACTTTATTACAGTTGATAAGAAACATAATGTTAACACAAGACAAAAAAATAAAATGTTCTTGCCATATGTACGTTTAAAGTTACGAAAGGTAAATTCTATTCAACAAAAAGGGGGGAAATAATATGGAATAATATTGATAACTCAATCACACATGTAACCACTCTTAGTTCTTTTAAATCGAAATTTAAGTTGCGTCTTCTTACCACATATATATGACTTCTGATACATACAATTACCATATAAATTATATCGTTCTGTATTATTATTGTGTTTTAGTTTGTAATGTCCTGTACACGTCTTGTATTTTGTTTTATTGTGAATTTTAATGTTTTGTATTTTCCACATTTGTTATTTATGTTATGGGTCCACCCACTTCTCTCAAGCCATCGGCTTTATTGGGTGTAAATGATCCAGCACAATTCTCAATGTATATATATTGTATGTGATTTTTTATGAAATAATAAATTGAATTGAATTGAATTGAGAGAGAGAGAGAATAAGGGGGAAATACAAATAGGGATGGAGAAAGAGTATAGTGTGGAAAAACCTCATAAACATAGAGAAAAAAGCAGTGACTTGATAGCAACACCATAACAAATAGAAACAGGTCAGAGTATTACAAACATGATAAATGATTTTACAAACTTTGTTTCTCATGATGATTATTGAGTATACGTGTGAAATTAAGAAGAGCACTATTTTTGAATCTCTTAGTTCTGCATGTAAATTCTTAATATTTTTTGACATTGGGTAAATTGAATTTGATTTCTTTGGAGGTAACCACAATTGACACAACATATTTGTTTTCAATTGAAACAGCAACATCTTTCGACAATTTTCCTTACGAGTCAATAGAGATGGCAATTCTAGTCTTGCTAATGCATTGTCATATGAGCTACAGTTTAATCCAAAAATTATTCTACATGCTGTAGATTGTGTATTTTGTTCATGTTAAGAGTAATGTTTATGGTCTTGTTTTGGAAGCTAGTAAAGCCTTTGATAGAGTTAATTCCGTACCGGATTCTGTAAAACTATTGAATTAATATTACGTAAAGGGACCTGTTCTATGTTCTGCTAGCTGCTTTGGGAATAATTATGTATTTAGATTGGACTCGAATGGGAAGGAGTTGATGGAGTTCTGATTTTGTCATGGATGCTATGATGTTGGACAAGGTGGGATTTTATCTATCTATCTGTTTTGCATGTTCATGTACATATGTATATATAAATTGAAGGCACTCGGAAAAGGATGTTTTGTGGGTCAAATCTTTGCAGGTTATTTTTCAGGATTATGCTCTTCAGTTTCATGAAAAATTTAATAGTGAGAAACTTCAATTTATCATATTCAAATGTGATGGAAAGAAAATTATGCTAGGTCCTACAGTATGATACAAATTAATGGAGGACTTGCCAAAGTAGTAGTGTCTGGAATTCGCTGTTTGCAATGTTATTGTAAATGTTGGTCTTTCCCAAATTAGTTGCTGTAAAAAAAATTGCCAATGTAATATTCTGCTGAGTAACTTTAAGTATGCTAAATGTGATTTTCGTAATATCTTTCAAAAGTTTTGTTGTAGCTTTTATGGTACTAAGTTATGTCCATTATTTGAGTTATCATTAGAAGCACTATTTAGACTTTGGAGAATAGCAATACGTAAGGTCTTAAAGTTCCATATGGCAAACACATAATGTATATATATTTGCCCTTTCTGTCTCAATTCATTAATCCTAAATTATGGTTTCATAAAAGATGTCATAGTTTAAGTTTTAAACTCAAAGAATCATAAAGTACCATATATAACCGGAATGAGTAGATTCGGAGCATATTTTATGTGAGGCAATCTGAGATATCTGGATAGTAGATATTTTAAAGATTATACAAACCTAAAAGCAAGGCGGAATGCATTATGTCATTATTTCTGTAAAGCGCTTCGAGCAATTCGTTGGATGTTGCGCTATATAAAAGACAATTGTATGTATGTATGTGTTATAAGGATAGTGGAGCAAAGAAGAGAATTGATCTGCATAAGCTAGGATAACCAGGATAACAGAGAATATTCATCCTTAAGTTCTGAAGAATATATAATGATTGTATTACTTATCTTTGTCTGCATTACATCGGCAGATATGGAATACTGTAAGTAAGACGGCAATAAAAAAATAGAATTGTTAGGGAGTGCTGCTATTTACGGTTTCTGTTTCGTAAATAGCTTAGATTTCCGTTTCGGTTTAACTTAATCAAATAATAATAATAATGATTTAGAGGAAACCAAACCCCAGGAAATAAATCAGATTTATTGTATTATTGCCCATTAATCTACAAGATTCCCCACCAAAGTGTATGAGAGAGGCATAAAGGAAGAATAATGTATAGTTTCTCAGCACTGCATGGGCATCGCAATTTTCTTGAAAACGTGACGTACTATGCGAAGTCGTTGATGCCGGTGACCTTCCGATTTTCATTTCGACGGCATGTGTGGTCACATATACTGCGGCCCCGGGAAGTGCCCGGTGAAAATTGGTCGAGTGAATATGCAAGCCCTTACAAAAAAACCCATGGTATACCATGGTACTACCATGGTTGTTATGGTATTACCATAATAACCATGGTACTACTATGGTAGGCATAATTCTACCATGGTACTACCATGGTGCTACCATACTACCATGGTACTACCATGGTACTACCGTACTTCCATGGTATTACCATGGTATTACCATGGTATTACCATGGTATTACCATAATAACCGTGGTACTACCATGGTACGCATGATTCTACCATGGAACTACCATGGTACTACCATACTACCATGGTACTACCATGGTACTACCGGACTTCCATGGTACTACCATGGTACTAACCATGGTACTTCCATGGTTAACATGATTCTGTGTTTGGCACTAGTTTGTCATTTGTTTTTGCTCTTTTTCAGTTTCCTTATAACTTATTGATATACCGAATCGTTTGCTCAAGGTAACTTTGCATGGTTTAAACACACGAAGTATAACCGAGTGTGTTACAGACCTACCCAAAGTTACGCGTGCACACAATTCCACCGACCCACAAAATCTGTTTCAAAGAATGGACTTTAAATTTTGAAAAAAAAACAAAAAAACAAATTAGCGGACGCATGAAACCAAATAAAAAAAACATAAGAATTATTAACAAAATAAAAATAAAAATATTTCAGAATCATGAAGAAAAATCAAAACAATTATAGTAATTATTGTTTCAAAATATTTGAAAAGAATTGTAAAAAAAAAAAAAAAAAAAAAAAAAAACTATCATTAAAAACAAAATTGTTATGAATATAAAAAAATATTCAAACAAAAATATAAGAATTGTAGAAAGAAAAAAAAAATATATTAAAAAAAATGATATCGCGTGAATCCAGTACAATTATGTAATTTCATAGTCCTTAAGTTTTCTGAGATTTTAGTTCAAATGAAAAACTGACAATTAAAAAATACATCTAGCAATCTGACTTAAGTTTATTATTTTAACAAATTCATTAATGTAGTTAAAACGTTTGCAATTATTATTAGGGGAAAGCAGGAGTTGAAAACTTATTTTCATTTGGCCATTTATCAATGGTGTGTACATTAGAAATTGTGCAACAGCTTGAAATATCATAAAGAAGGTCATACCTACAGGCCCCATATACATATACATATACACACATACACACACACAAACGCACGTACTACACACAGCCAATCCTTTGGAACCGTTGTGCAATATAACCCCGCATATTTTGAATGGCTAGCTATGTGTACTGTGTACGTGTCAAAGGATCGCTGTACAAAGCTTGCATTGGGAATAGTGCACGCACAAGCTACACTATAGCTACTGTGTGCATTATAAATTCACAATGTAGCTTTGCCTAGACAGGAGCTAGACTGAATCTTGGTGTTTTCTCTGCAAAATAATGCTGAATATTGAGTTTTCCTGCTAATCTACAACAGTATGGGTAAGTTTAAGAATCATCTACCTTATTTACAATATGTACATATATCTACTCGATGTCTAGATAGTTATTTATGACAGTGTTAACTGGGACTTAAAACACATTTCGACAGGATAAGACTGAACATGTATGATCCCATGTACGTAATTTGATGTAGGATCTTGATGGGTTTATGGGGCAGATATCATTCGAAGCAAAATTTGTCCATTTACATACACATTAACTCTGCTGTGATTATAGTATCATTGCTCGCAGGATTTAATGTTTTATTCTTTTTAGAACATACTGCATAAAAACCCAGCATATTAACGAATTACGCTTAATCGATGTCATGTCTGCGTCTGTGACTGTGTGATTTTATGTTGACAGTTGTTGATATTCATTTTTTAAATTTTTTATAGACTCTAATTCAAAATTGTCTTTTTTAAATTACAGATATAGACGCAACATGACAAATGAGTAGTTTCCATATCGACCTCGTTCTTTATTATCATCTTCACCAATATACATCGACGCCACTATCACCATGTCTTTGACGTCGACCTCCGTTTTCGCGTTTGAACTTTGAAGATTGTTGCGAACTGTAATAATGAATTGGATATTGGCATTATCGACGTTTGTTCTGTCTTTGAACACTAGTCTCATCGAACTTTGATTAAAGGTAAGAACCTCCTTTTTACCTTCTTCGATTTGCGTTTCGTCGTTTGCAGGTCTGATCCTATACCGCGTTTCACCATCGCCGAACACGGACTCCGCATCCGATCGACATCGCCGACTCTTGACTTTCGTTCATCATTCATTTTTGAACTGTACTATGATCACCGACATCATCTACGATCTGCCAAGAAGGCCTAGTCACCAATTGTTTCTTCAAATGTCATCTTTCGACTGAATTCGAGTACGACATCGTCAACGAATCTCGCACCTCCGCTGGAAGGACAGTTTTTTATAATGTACTATGTAATTTGAATATGAGCGGCAGTCTTCCGCTATAGAAATAGACTAACCACTTTAAGATATTGTTGTGTGCTGAAAATGTTTAGTGTCCTGTATAATGATGTTACAAGCGGCAGTCTTCGCTATAGAAATAGACTTCAGTTTTCGACTGTAAATTGTTTTATATATTTTACGCGAGCTAGATTTTAGCTTGTTTGAATAAACGTTTTTTTAAAGTAAACATATTGTTTCCATTGTTTGATGTTTGATACGTCATATGATCATTCAACAATAATGATCAACATGATTGTGATGTCTTTTGTTAACAGATCGTGTTTGCGAGAGAATCGGCTGAATAGATAATTGAGTTGAAAGTGGACATGCCAGCTCCTGTCATTTTTGCGTCTACTGTGCAGACGACTAGCATGCTATTTCAAAATTAAATAAACAAGGGCTGGCAAATATTATGAGGAATACTGTGTTGAAAGTGCTTTAATTATGTAGTAGATTTGTAAATTATACCATGGTACTGGACCACAATAATACCGTGGTATACCATGGTACTGTACCACGGTAGTATACCACGGTACTGTACCATGGTACTGGAACACAATATATACCGTGGTATACCATGGTACTGTACCATGGTATACCACGGTATTATTGTGGTACAGTACCGTGGTACAGTACCGTGGTATACTACCGTGGTTCAGTACCATGGTATACCACGGTATTATTGTGGTCCAGTACCATGGTACAGTACCGTGGTATACTACCATGGTACAGTACCATGGTATATACCACGGTATTGTGGTCCGGTACCATGGTACAGTACCGTGGTAGTATACTATACCGTGGTACTACCGTAATAATTGTCATGGTACTACCATGGTAGTACCATGGTTATGTAGCGTGGCCAATATACCGTCTACCATGGTACAGTACCATACCATGGCACTACCATGGTACTACCATGGTACTACCATGGTACTACCATGGTTTTTTTTTGTAAGGGAGGCGCCCGTAAGGGGGCCGGTCGGGTGCCGGTCGGTAAGCGTACGGGCTCCGTCCGAAGAACAGGTGGACTCCAAGGCTTCCGGAGCCCGACCAGGGTCGTCAAGGCGCCCGTACGTTGCCCGACAGGCTGCCATGCGGCGCATTGAACTATGTGTCCTCTGACATCCGCGCCTCTGTATTCAAAGATGCGTTGTACAGTGAGAATTAACAGGAGAAAATCGCGAGGGCCCCGTCCGGGCACTGTCCGGAGCCCGTACGGGACCCGTAAGGTGCCTCACGGGTCCTTTACGGGCTCTCTACGGCCTAACGGTCAGATCAAAACGCAGGAAGAATTGGTAGCAGCCAACTCAGTACCACGAGGTCCGTACGACTTAAAACAATGTCCCGGCGCCCGCAGGAAGTGGAAGGGAGCCGGCCCAAAAATTCCCCAAATGTCTGTTTTTACTCGCCGTACGGGCAGCCGGAGTGTATATGTGAAAGCCCCATTATCAAGTACATGTATTCAAATGTATAGATGCTTCCTTCCCAGACTGTGTGGTTATCCCCAAGATTAGAACGACTTGTATGAAATTTTCTCTAATTTTTAAAGGACCATTAATATGAAATAGTATACCTCAGGAAATTGAAAAATGCAAAACTCTCAATCTTTTAAAAAAATAATTATAAACAATTTCTGTTAAATAAGTATAATAATCAGTATTAATAGCATGGGAAAATTTTGACTCTTTTTTAAATATATTTAAACAAACGTTGATCGTACATTTGTTATGTTCTTTTGTTCTCGTTTTCCTGTATGTGTGTTTTTAGGGGTAGGCTTTTATATAAGGAATCCTATAGTCTTATAAATTGCCATTGTATTTGTTATCACTTTCTTGTTTTTTGTTATAACTCCATTCTGTATTTGTATGTTTTAAATGTTTCTATGAAGAGTGTTGAATAAACTTTGAATTTGAATTTATGCATCATTTCATTCACCTCCTTTTATCCTTCGTACTACCATTGCCAGAACGAAAATTGCATAAATAAATTGGTGCTCTTCTGGGGTGAAGGTTTCTCATGAATGAAATAGATTTGTACAATGCGTGCGTGTGTAACTGGGTGTTTACAGACGTGTATCAATCAGATATGATTATTTACGTCTGAGGACCAACCTTTAACGTCACCATCCGAAAAGAACGTGACTCAGTTTCGAACCGGGGTCGCGTTAGCCAGTTTGTAGGCGAAGACAGAAAGCTGACCAACTCACATCTCCAGCTATAGTTTAGTATTTATGAATACATTGAGTTACAATAATTTTTCCCCTGTAATTTATTTTTCACCTAATATAATTGTTATCTTCTCAGTTATTATTATTTTTCATTGAAAAGTAAATGTTGTTTTTTTAGATTTTGAAAGTTTTTCCATCTAAAGCTTGGTGCATGATACATTTACAACTTCAACTGGTACTTTACATTTTCAAGAAAATGGCTGCGCCCATGTTACGCTACATGTAAAAGGCATCACATCATGCGAAGAATATCTTAATTTATATATCTCTTGTACATTTTCGTAAGGAATATTGTACATCAAAGGACAGGAATACATCTCATATTTCAGAATAACTACACTTATTCTTTGGGTTGAGGTTTCCATTAATTTGCTTTCGTATAGATATGTGTCAGATATCAGTGCCACTGTGCGTAGCCATTTATGAGTATAATGCAATAAGTTCATGTGGGTATTTTTTTTGCGCATGGGAGCTAGTATGTGCTGGTAACTCCTTGGTATGTGTACAAGTGAATGTGTTCGTGCGCGTAAATGCGTGTGTGCGTGTGCGTGTATGCATGTGTGTGTGCGTGTGCGTGTGTGTGTGATTACTTGTATTAATGCTCGGTTTCGTGAGCACGCGAAGTGTGCGAATCACTTAAAGAGCGTGCGAAAGCACGCTCCTTGGGGTGGATGAACGGTGTGGGGGGGGGGGGGGTGGGTTACCCCCTCCCGCGCAAAGCGCGGAAGCTTTGACGTTTCCTTATATTATTTTAAAAAAAAAATTGCCGGCCGACAGACATATATCTCTCCGACTTCAAACTTCTGCATACGAGGATCGAGCAAGAATACCAACACAGCTGACCCGACACTGGAACATAATTATCTATGCTTATCTTTCTTGCCCCCTCGACGTGGCGACTCCACCCAATATCCCCCCTCTCTCTTACTCCCACCCTCCTCTCTTAGGCTCTTACCCCCTCTCTCTCTCTCCACTCTCTCATCCCCCCGTTTCTTTCGTTTCCTTTTTCTCTTTTTTTGTTGCCTTTTCTCCTTTTTTTAATTCTTCTTTCTTTAACTTTGTTTCCTCTCCTTCCTCTCATTGTTTTTTTTTCTATTTCTTTCTTCTCTTTTTTTTTCTATTTCTTTCCTCTCTTTTCCTTCCCCCTTTTTTTTTCTTCTCTTCTTACCCTTTCCCTCTCGTTTTCTCCCTCCCCCTTTTCTCATTTTCCCGACGGCAGCGCAATTTTACCGACAATATCCTGGCAGGTGTGTGGGGGGGGGGGGGGGGGTGTCGCATCCCACACCCCCTTTTAGCGACGCCCCTGCATGAACGACGAATCTTGCTAATTGGGACATGGAGAGAAGGGGGGGGGGTGGTGATTGTGAATTTTGTGTATATCATGCTAATCTTAATTTTGTTACCTTTATGTTTTTGTTATTTGTGCTTTTAAATTTGAAATGAAATACCACTACTACTATATTGCTACTACTACTACTACCTTTTTTTTATACTGCTACTACTACTACTACCACCACCACCGCCAACACTACTAATACTACTACTACCTCTAGTACGTACTCTTACTACAACTAAAATTACGTACTCTTAGTATTACTACAGTTATTTACACTTACTGCTACTAGTTAGGTGGTCTTTTATCGACAGACCATGCCCATTGATTTCGTTCTAATTTCCTTGCTTTTTAATTTTTATTTCTTTCACCCCAATTTTACGTACAACGGATAACTCATGCTCGGTTCACACAGTCATAGGTCATTGTCATGACACGCGACAGGAACATTAAGTTCATGAGGTCTTCTTGACGTCATCCAGGCGCCATTTTGTGAAATTTTCTGAAAATCAATTCATGATCATATCTTTATAACGGAAAATCATTTCTCATTCATATTTATCATGATAAAGGTCAATATCCGTCCGGTCAATTTCAGTTCAATAAACGCGCGCGTACGCGTACATCCGCGCGTCAGTGTGCGCGAAGTTTTTTCAAATGCTAAAAATCGTCTTAAATTAATTTTGCATACGTCTCAGGTCGTTTAAAGCATTTCAGAATTTTGCACGCGAGTCTTAGTTCTTCATGGCCGTATACAACATCGAATCGCCATTCTTTTTCTATCATGATAATCCCCATTTTTGTCTTAACAATGCGATACCATGTTTATCTCTTAATGACTATTAATACCGAAATGAGCGTCCGTTTAAAATAAATGTCCGTGCGCGCGAGCTCTTGTAATACATAGCATATAATGGGCAAATACATGCGTATATGCTTTCATGTCTCATTTGGCCATTAAGCATATCTTGACATCATTATAATTGCCTTGGAACCCAAAATACGAATAGGCATATTATGAAGTCAGCATATTTAAGGAAAATGGATTGTAACTCTGATATGTTGTAGCTGTGAAAATTCATAACAAGATCAACGTTAACCAGACATAATAACAGACCACCTAATTCGTTCCAATGACGAATTAAATGTCTCGTTCTACTGCTATTACTACTACTACTACTACTATATTTTTCTAATTTTGCAAAACAAAACTTATCGGGTAGTTTTGAATATGAAACATTGTGGGGTTTTCAGATTGACTATTCTCTTTTTCTTGTTATTCAAATGTGCTTTCGGTTGACAATTTTCCATAAATGTGTAACTGTAAAAGTATGGATATCACCAATGCTGTGTTTCATTACTTAATGTAGGCCTTCCTACCATTATTTTCTTCCAGATCGTGGCTTGTTCTTGTGACTGAGTCAATCGATTTGCCAAGATGCCTGTATCAATAAGTGAGTGGAGGGTCCGAATTGGAACATTCGTTCGTTGGATTAGGGAGTATGAGGTTAAGGAGAGGAGAGAACAATTGCTTAAAGAAAGGATTCGAAGACTGAAGGTTCTTTGCGAGAGACTTGAAGCGAAAATGGGTGATTCTGGAGAGGAGTCCGAAGATGACAAAAGCAGACAAGATGGCCCTGATCGCAAGGGATGTCCTCATAAAAGTTTGAACATTCGGTCGTCAGAAAACTCATCAGATATCAATGATTTACTAACTTCATGTGATCAGTGCATTCAGGAATTATTAACGGCAAGTGATTCTCATATCAAAGAGTTACTCACCCCTTCAGATACATGTAGTAAACAATCGCTGACACCAAGAAGAGAAAGATTGCAAAGGATTCAGAGACTGAAGGTTCTTTGCGAGAGACTTGAAGCAAAAATGGGTGATTGTGGAGAGGAGTCCGAAGATGACAAAAGCAGACAAGATGACCCTGATCCCAATGGATGTCCTCATAAAACTTTGAACACATCAGATATCAAGGATTTACTAACTTCATGTGATCAGTGCATACAGGATTTATTAACGGCAAGTGATTCTCATATCAAGGATATACTCACTTCTTCGGGTTGTAGCATCAAAGGACTCGTTACCTCAAATGACTGTAGCATCAAAAGTCCAAACAGGTTGAATGATTCGACTATGAAAGATGTAATCACACCTAACGATTCTGGTATCAAAGAGCTAGTTACGACAAATGATTCTAGAATTAAAAATCTGGTCAAGGCAAATGACGATTCTAGAATTCAAGATCTAGTTAAGGCAAATGATGATTCTAGAATCCAAGATCTACTCACGACAAATGATTATAGTACATGTATCAGGGATCCAATTACACCAAAATATTGTAGTATAAAAGATATAATCGTATTGAAGAATGCTGACACTAAACCTCTTGATAGCCCAAATGATTCTAGCACCAAAGAGTTAACTTCGTTAAATGATTCCAGTATCAAAGATCTCATTACACCAAATGATTCTAGGATCATAGATCTATTCACATCAGAATATTCTAATGTCACGGATCTAATCACATCAAATGATTCAAACATCATTAATCTACTAAGTCCAAATGAGAATAACATTAAACGGCTCATAAGGCCGGACGATGACTACATCGAAGAGCAGCTTGCACAAGTTTATGATTATGTCAAAACAGTACGTACATCAAATGATGAAAGCATAGAGCAAGATACACAAGTTGGAGATTCGGAAGAACAGCATGTGTCTGATTTTTCAATTTCACCGCGTCATAGTCTGTCAGACGCTGCCTTGAGGGAGCTACTCACATCATATCCGTCCATGAAAGACCTTCGGACTCCAACTGACGATTTGAATGCCGATCTCATCATAAAGACTTCTTACGTCAAATACCATGAAACCCAATCAGTTGGCTCTGTGAAAGAGCTATCATCACCTGGTTCAGGAACCACAGTATGCCGACCATTCGCACCATGTGATGATTTCCAGGTGGAGCTCCTAAAACCAACCCTGTCTGCAAGCATAGATCTTCCCCCAATTGACCTTTGTTGGCATGAACCTGACAGACAAAATGAGCCATTCCCTGAAGAGAGTTGCAAAGTACCTCATTTCGTGGACAAAGAGCAGCATCCTCAACCTGATACTTTCACCAAGGAAGCAATTGATGATGAACTCCTCAAGGAGCATCAGACATTATCGGGAAGCTGCAAGAAGTCACAGACTGAACCCAGTATTCGCACGGCAGTCAGATGCAGTCCGGTGGTTCCAATCGTCTCAAGAAAATACTGCGTCAGTGACAGATATGGAGAGGTGGGTACACGTACAATTTTAATCATCCCTTCACATTAACCCCCCCCCCCCTTTTTTTTACTTGATCCAGATGGCCCCTATTTTAAAGCCTATGGCAAAGAAAAATATCAGTAGTCAGTGGGTTAAGTAATTGTGAAATTGCAAATCATGTAAAGAAAAACAAATATAAGCAAGAAAGAGAGGAGCAGCATGTTAATGCCTTCAACGAAACATTTTGTATCAGAAAGGGTACCTAGATCAAAGATTTTGTACCTTAGGTGTGACTGTTTCAACCCTTGCAGGACACGAGTATTTTTAAGGGCTCAATTAGCTCCAATTTTATTTTCATTTTCATTTCCAACAGAACAATCTATATAAACAAGAAGTCAATCACGGAAATCAATATACAGTATTATAATGCATTTTGATAATCATTAATCAAATTAAAAAACAGAATGTATATATTTGTTGCAAGTTATGCTTCTTTTTTTAAAGCAAAAACTGTGGAAGTGGAAACTCAGAAACATGTCGTTTTGCAAATTGGCAAGAAAAATATTATTATTTCATTGCTACATTGTTCTGATATATTTCAATGACCCTCAGAACTATATACATTTTAAAGAACTCTGTCTGAAAGTGGGAAACCGGCAACATTTGATAGAAAAATAATGATTTTGAACCTCTTAACATGTTGCCAATTTGAGTATTGAAATAATTATTTTTCACAAAAAACAACTTATCAAATGCAAATATGGTCATGCAATAAAAATGGACACAAAACGTGTGTTCATAATTCTTTACTTTTTTGTGTACATGTATCTCGTATATTATTTAGGTTCTGGGTCAAAGGATATCTCGAAAGGGTTAAAGGCCTTTGTCCTACATTGTGTGTAATGCGAAATTAGTTAGTGATGAATGAAATGGAAGAATTGTACACAAACAAATGGATATTCTCATGATTAGGCAAACAATAATAACAAGCATTTTCGTAATAGATAATGTACTGGTGAAGTGAAATATGCTCAATCATAAATAATTTCACCGTATTTTCTCTCGTTTTGTTATAGAAACAGATGGGAGAATCGGCATCAACTTGTCATGGACCATCCTTGAAGTCAAAGACAGATTTGATCTCTGGACAGATTCCTCATCTCTCTGAATTGCTCCTCATGAAATCTGGTGATGTAGAGCTCAACCCAGGCCCTCGTGAAGCGTAAGTCTCTAATATTTCTTCAGCTAAACTGATATATAAAAGAATACTTCTAAAAAATGCCACATCCACTTTAATCAAAATTGATTATTGTTGCATTTTGAATTTACTATTCTTTTGATTAGACCGCATACACAGTCAAAAAGCTGAATTGTTAATGAACGACAATTAAAGTAAACACTTCTGGCCTGTTCCCTAGCATGTTAAGTTCCAGAACATGATACATCTATTAAAGCTAATCTTTAGCTCTGGTATGGGAATCGTATTTTGAAAAAAATTGCTATGATGTATTCTGGATTGTTTATCCTGCCGTAGATTGGTTGTTTGAACCAGTGAAATAAAACCAAACGCACAAAAGCTTACTGGGCATTATCTTCGATAAAAAGTACAACTCCTATTTGCACATAGTGACCTGTGTTAAGGGAAGTTCTAAATTAGTGTTATGTCATTATTTTGTATTCGTGAACATTCAATGAAAGTTTCGTTGGATTCTGTGAGAATTTATTTTCTATATTTACAAGAACTTAAGTTTACAATGGCCAGCTCCAGGAACTGACCAATCCACAGATTTTTTAAAGTAATCTATTCATTACAGGGCTTATTTAGGGAGTGATTGTGTCCTCCCAATTGGTTCGAGCTTTATTTCAAATTGATAATGCAAAATAGGATTATTATTTATAATACAAAAAATGTTGGAACTTAGTTTTAGGGATGTAGCATGTTTTGGAACAAGAGGCGAAATCTGTCGCTGAATTTTCAGGGAGTAGATTAAAGTTTATATGATGTACTTCATATCGTTTGTTTCTTCCTTAAATTGTTGTTCTGTTGTTCGATAATTCTAGATATACAACTAGACCAAAAGCCAAAGACATTGAATATTTAAACTAACCAAAATGATATCTGTTTCATTGAAGTGAAAATGAGGCATACTTTGGTTTCTCACTGCACCAAAACAATTTACATAAACATGTATTATAAGACAATAATTTAAAGCAAATTGTCACTCCGTTCAGATGCAATTGATTTATTTAATATTAACTCCTTTAAATAGCTCAGTACCGAAGCGTGATGTCTTGTACTGGCCAAGGTGTCAAGGTTGCTGGTTCCAAAAGAAATTGGGCTAAACAATGGTGTGGTGATCATCACACCAGCCCCAAACACTGAATTTCTCCTGCTCCAGCCTGTTACTTGAATTATTTTACAGTGAACCTCATGCACAATCAGTAACCTGGACGAAGAGCGAATATGACGTTCGCACTTTGGTTCTTTATTTGATGTACGATTCAGTTGATTAGTTTTCTTTTTTTCTTTCTCATCAATTTTTCTGTTAGGGCTGAGTGGAGCTTGGAGTTAGAGGGAGAATTGCTGTCATTGGTAGACGAAGTTCCTCCGAAACACTACACCCGCCTGTGCAATGCTCTAGGTGTCAAGCATGCACGAAGTAAAGCAATATTATCGGAAAACCTCTTAGATGTGTCCAATTCACTGTTTGAAGTCATCTGCAGCTGGGGAGTCAAGCAGAGGGGTGGCACTAATTACAAGACACTTTTAGCTGAAAAACTCAGGAGTGTATATTTAGATGCATTGGGAACAAAACTAGTAGAAGGTGAGTGCGCTGTGCAATTTATTTCTGTATTTTCACGCGACTGTCTGTCCTTGGTATATGTGTAGACCTACTGTACATGACGCTGGGGGTGGGGGGGGGGGGGTGGGAGTTGTCACTCCAAGTCAACAAGAATATCACTTGTTCTGAGGCCTAATTAGCATGTGGACATGAAGGGGGAGGGGTAATGACGGGCATTCCCCTTCCCTCCGATCCCTTCTTAATGTACATGCTACAATTTTGGTTTTGATATGACATATATTTTCACAATATTCTAGCGTAATTAGTAACACCCGTTTTTACTGCATTCATCTATAGTAGATATTGGAAAATAAGTAAATAATTGGGCCACATTTTCTTTAATAGAATATACGTTAGAGGATAATTTAAATCGATTTCATTCATAACACAATGGCAGTTAATATGTCTCCACTGTCATTTACCTATTATGCCTATTGGGAGATACTACATATAGAACTCCTTCTTATATTCTAATTGTTGAATTTGTTCGAGGCCTGTCATGTTTAGTTGTAGAATTTTTGTTTACATTTGCCCAAAAGAATTGTGTGATAACAGGTACTTCCTCGTCGTCGTAATTAAAACTTTTACTTGTTACTCATAATTTAATTATATTTTATGTAAGTTTTGATCAACTTGACAATGTTAAATTACATATTTATTTTAAAGAGCATTCAATTTTAATACATATAGCTGTCTCATTTTAACTTATAGGTGGATACTCGACACAAGACACCCCAACTCAGTGTAAGTATACATGATCAAGACCCTCAAATAATTACGGTGTGAAATGCACTTATATTTTGGAAGCAGCATGAAACTATAATAAGAAATTTAATGTGTATAACTAAAACCCTGCATTGGTAATTCACTATTTGTTTATAAATTCATGTATACCCTTATCTCATCCTATATTTCTAGTCTGTTTTGTGACATCCAGCAATCAAGATATTCATTACGCTCAAGGTCAGATCCTCTTCTGCAAGTCCCCGCATCAATTCGAAAAAGGGTCAACGAAATATAACTTTTCTGGTCCCACTATTTGGAATAGTCTCCCATTAAACATTCGTTCCTGCTCCTGAGTCGAATCATTTAAGAGAAATCTCAAGACTTATTGTTTTCTTTGTGATTGTTTTGTTGACAAGGCGTTGTGTAGATTTGTATGGGATGTGAACGGGGTTATACACAGCTTTACACAGCACATTTTACAGTGTATGCGCTTGGAGAGCATAATAATTATTCTGTTTTATTTACTAACGTAAAGCACTTTGAACATGTTTATGTAAAGGCGTTGCTGACGGCCGCACTGTACTGCAGGCTTCCGTTGTTTGTATCGGTATAGAGATATGGAGATGGGAGATATAGCGCTTTCTTCCGGCGTATAAGCGTGCATTAATTTGTTTACAATATGGCGCCCTCTAGACACCGACGAATTCGAGCGAGAAATCCTGCATGCTAGTAACTTCCATGGTTCCATTTTATTGGTTTGAGGTTTGAAAGTTGAAGCTCAATATTGTGTGAAAGTTAGCTCACGGGGGGGGGGGGGCGAATCGTGACTGAGAGGCTCTGGTTGATAATTTGAATTTCTAATGGATTCAGCCCGAAGAAAATAGTAACTATGCTAGTCACCAACTCACCAATCAGATTTCATTACTGCAGGAGACCGGAGCTTCAAAACAGTGCATATATAGTATCCCCATCAATATTGAAAATTAAACATGTAAACTATATACAGCAGACAATAGATATCGATTAGTCACCATCATAGTCAAATACTGCATGAGATTCTATTTTGCTAGTTAGTTTACTCTAAAATACACGGCAAAGAATTCTCCCCATCACAAATACCCTTAAATGCCCGGATGTGCATGCATGCGCCTCTTGGATGTAGTTTTCATCTATACATCCGGTGCTTACATGTTTCCGGTGTATACGGTGCATGCATGAGGCGCACGCGTGTTATACCTATTATGCATGTGCAGTATACACGTATCCGAGAGCTTTCTTGTCGGCTCAAGCTGACTTAAAGAAAATGTTGAGTTCTGGGAAGAGGTGAACAATTATTTGTGAGCGTTATCATTCTTATTATGCAAATGTGGAAGAACATCAGCTAAAGGCACTTTCACGGATCGCATCACGGATCATCCCGGATCGTCGCTCCGGGATCATCCGTGTTATCTCCGGCATTACCGTGTATACACCGGGGAGGCATCCGGCGTGATCCTTGGCGTACGGCATATCCGGGGAAAAATTAAGCTTGCTTAATTTTTCATCCCGGAGTTCACGGATGAAACAATCCGTCCTCTTCCCTGTAGGTACCGTGTACCTCCGTGTAGCCGCCGAATACATCCGGGACAGTCCGTGTAGACACCGGGAGGTCCGTATTAACACCGGTTTCATCCGGGTTTGAAATTCCGTATATCAAATGAGCGCCTACAAGCTCAAGTCACCCGTCAACATTCCGGAGATATCCCAATAGACAACGTACACCTCCGTGTAAGGACCGTAAAAGTACCCAGTAGCCTCCGTGCTCTTCCTTGAAATCCGTGTTAGCTCCGTATGCGTTTCCGGCGTGGTCCGCGTTGCTACCTTGTCTGTCCGTGGAGACACCGTACTTGCCCGTGTATACACCCAGTTCGGAACGTATCCACACCGGCATCGAGAAGAAATCGTGGTGTCGCACGCCGGAACACCCCGGATTAAGATCCGGGATGATCCGTGATGCGATCCGTGAAAGTGTAAAAGGGCCTTAAGACATGTTCTCTGAAAAACATGGCTCTTCAAATGCCTTCATATTCTAAATATGTCATGTAACATCGTAAAAATCCAGGGTAAGATTTTTACGCCACGTGTTCGTGTAGTCCCATATACATCTTTCTGTGTACAGTACGTGTTTGTAACTTTATCAAGACTTGGCCAAATTTTGTATCATTTTGATGATTCCAGAACCTTGCAATACACACAAATTCTTATATGCTAGATGATCAACCTTTTCTGGTCGATTCCGCACCGTTTCTTTCCCAATGCAATCGCATGACAAGAACTCAACTTCATCTTTAAGGAATCCCACTGTATGGCCATCATTTTGTAATTGTTCTTTGTCAAAAATACCAAGTCACATCTCTCATCCAGGGATATCTCCAAAGGTTGTTTCGTTTAGTATTTTCCGTGCGACTAGCACATAGCAAATTTACAGTATTGCACCATACTCCAACTGACAATTCAGTTTATAAAAATAGAAAATTACTTATTATATAAAAAAAAAAAGAAAAGAAGACGAAGTGAAAGGTAGCATCATCCAACTATTGCACTGCGCTAATGAGAGTTAGCACTGTGACTTCCGGCCGTCGCCCGCTGCCGGGACTGGATCGGTTGCATGAAATAGACCAAAACACACTAAGTCACCAAGCTATCACAGAGTGCATTTGAAATGAGGGCCTGAAAATAACATCCGGACATTTGGGGGTAGAGCGAGGGCGAGAATTCTGGAAAATTATCACAGACTTAGGAAACGTTGCTCATGATGTTTTTGTGATGGGTAAACAATTTCTTTTCAGAAGCTAAAACAATCCACTAGTTCAGTGTATAGTTTAATTTCTTTAGTTTAACTTGATTTTGATATAAGCTGCATATACAATGCAACCAAAAATTATGGATATTTCTGACATTCCGGTGCATAGCAACTAACGGCAAACATGACAAAAATAGAAATCGAAAATCCCCCTCTGGAGTGTTGTTTTGTAAAACATGACTGCCGAAATTACACTGATTTTTGCAGTGTAAATGCAAACTTCGGTAAAATACTACTCACCAAAAAATCGGCATGGCCGAACTTTTAGGGTTTTTTACAGGTTTTCTCTAGTAATATGAATGGCAGTCAACCAAAATCAAAGATTTTTCAAAATGTTGTTTGGGATGTGTAAATGGGTTTAATATTGATATCTTCCCAGTGTGTATGCGTTAATACCACAACAATTTCAAACACATTTGTATATTAATTAGAGCGTGAGTGAGTGAATGGCGCGATGTGAGTCACAGTAATAGAGGTCACACTGAGATTATGTGCGCCTCACAGAGGATCAGACATAGTCAATGACAACATAAATAAACGTCATTAATATCGTATATATGAATTCCAAAAGAAAAACTGAGATATGTCGACGTAGTTTGCACTACGTAAGGTATCATTTCAAGTACATGGGGTGTAACAAATGGCGCAATAGACGTCATAATAATAAAAAACATTACACTAAAATATAATTATAAATGGATTAAAATTGTGTGTCAGGAAACGACTTATAAGGATTTTATATAGATATATATACATACACCAACACATGTATGTTATTGTTTACATACATACATAAATACAGGTAACAAGTGAGGCAGTTGTGTGTCAGGATGTGCTGCAACCCTGTAGATACTTGATATTCACCCCCTCCAAAGATGTCAGTCGCCTATCTAGACGTGTTAGGCATTTGATATCTTTGTCCTTATTTGTAACATCTGTTGAAATAAATATTTCGTTGCATTTACAATTTAACATACATTGTACTTAATCTCTGTACAGATCCAATACTGGATACTTCCCAAACAATTATGACTGAGGCACAGGTTCTCCAGTGTGGGGAAGACTTGAAGACATTCTACCGCGAACAAATGTGCAAAATCAAACCTTACCCGCTTGATTTCAACATCATCGTTGAATTCGAGCAAATTTACACGAACTTAACGCTGCTCAGGAACGAAATGGGAACAAAGAAAACTGAAAAGCCACTGGATTACGCTGATCTTCTTACTACAAAGATTAACGGGGTACTTCCTAAACGTCTTCTGGTTGAAGGTGAAGGTGGTGTTGGTAAAACGACCTTCTGTTCGAAGATTGCATGGGATTGGGTCAATGGATCTTCCGAGTTTCAGCACTTCAGTTGGGTTCTGGTTATACCCCTGCGCAACGTTGTCAAGGGTCAGACAATTGGTGATATTATGAAAAACTATCTCTCTGACAATAATGTTGTGAACCCTAAACAGATCGATAATTACATATTGTCTCAACCTACAAAGGTTCTGATTGTACTTGATGGACTAGATGAGTATGATGGGGACCTCTCTGCCAAAGAAAGCACAGATATTGCTCAGATTCTGCGATTGGAGAAATTCAAGCAATGCATAGTTTTGGTGACAACAAGACCGTGGAAGGCGAATAAGATCAAATCCAACAAAAGATTGAGTAATTTGTATGCTTTCATTGCAGTAAAAGGATTTAGTTCTGAAAATGTCTTGAAATACATCAGCAAGTACTTCGTGAACGATAAAGACTCGGGATCAGAACTATGTCGGTTTATTGAAGTGAATGATGTAATCAAGGAGAACATGGCACCCTTCCCTATTTACGTAGCAATGCTATGCATCTTATGGGAAAATTGTGACAGTGAGAAACGAGAAACAATACGCAGACTGAAGACATTTTCTCAATTATTTGACAAAATGATCATGTTTCTAAGAGATCATTATGTGTCAAAGGCTGCAGAAGCCCATTTGGACGAGGAAATGGAAAGTATACAGCTTTGTTTGACAAGTATAGGATCGATTGCCTTCTCAGGACTCCTGAATAAGAAATTGGTTTTTAATGAGGAGGACTTCAGCTCGTGTGAGGAGGCCATGGAGACATGTTGCAGAATCGGAGTTCTAAGTCGGGAAGATCGAAATGTATCCATATGGAAAAAGACTTTGAATGCTTCACAGTCTGTAACCACTAGCATCTTCTTTCCTCACAAATTATTTCAAGAATATATTGCGTCTGTTCATCTTGCCTCTCTATATGACACGAATCGCGAAGAGTACGGAAGGTCAATGGGCAAAGTACTGAAAGATGACCCACTACAATTCCGTTACCTCTTGTATTTCACTGCTGCCCTGGGTAAGGAGGTTGGACTTGATATCGTCGAGAAAATACAACAAAATGACTTCCTAAATGTACAACAAAGGAAAAAAAGAGAGGAATTTCTAGTAGATGTCACTTTTGAGGCATATGACAACGACACAGCAAAAGCAGTAGGACTACAGATATTTGCAGACGAGAAAAAGTTGACCATCAATAAAAAAATGCCTGCCCACACAGTGTCTGGTTATCTATTCATCATGGAACAGCATGGAATGGTTTGTAATAGAATCTTAACTAGAATTTCAGTGTATGTGTGTGGGGGGGGGGGGAGGATGCAGACATTATATAAGGTGGACGAGGGCGCAAAGCTCTCTAGTGGGGGAGGGTCAAGAAGGGGGTTAGGGATTTTTTTTGTTTGCTTTTTTTTTCTGTCGGAAACATTGAACATTACAAATGGTTTCACTTATGGTCCTACCTATAGATGTTGTTTGCATTGTTGCATTGATTCCTTTACCAATATCAGATTGAGCACCATCCTCATTGGTACAAGCATGCATGCTTCAAAACAGATACACTACATACGTACCAAGTAATATACCGTTCCATCAGCAGTAGATAACGGAGCCGGAACTGGCCACGAATGGGGTATTTTTTAGGTAACCTAATTTTTTTTCTTCTTCTTTTTAGAGCGGACCTCTTATCGTTAGCAGGGGGGGGGGGTGCACATGCACCCTCTCTTTAGTTATGGGCCTACATGGAATAGTACATGGAATATTTACTTTGAAAAAATGGTGTAATTCAATATAGAAGTGTTACATCAACATTAACTTGGTAGACATTTAATGCCAGTTGAACGTCGATGAATTATAACTATAGCCTGAGAAAGAATTCCATGTAAACCTAAACTAGAAATTTGTTGACATATAAAATAATGATTTCATATATATATATTCCCAGGCCTGTATAATGAGTCAGGATCATTTAAGCAATAAGAATTGTATAGTAATTATATTAAACATGTTTATGTCTGTTCCAGGAAAGTTTGGTATTCAGAGACAGATCATGGGGCCCAACTGTATCGCGTGACCTAGCAGACGTCCTATTCGCATCGAACTCATTATCGAGATTAGAGTTTTATCGTACAACATTGGATGATGACTTTTATCAGTTAATGCATACACGAGTTTCTACGATAGGGGTAAATATACAATTTTTTAAACAGAATACTACTTATTACAATCCTATTTTATCAGACGAATTTAAGACAAGGTACTGTGTAAATAATATTTCCATTTTGTGTTTAAAAACATTACTTTTTTTGGGGGGGGGGGGGGCAAATAGCGTGGATTTTCAATAATAACCCCCCTCCTAAATTTATCTATGCAGACTTCCTGCATATACCCCAAACAAGCACGTTTTCCCCTTCATACAAGATATTAAGAAAATATGCACACTTCATCCATTGTGGTCCTCTTCGCTTATAAGGCCTGATATTGAATTATTGTCTCACTGATGGCAGGATAAAGGGGGACAATATTTGGTAGAGAGTGAGCACTGGCTAGAAAACGGAATACAACTTTCATTATTGGTTCTGTACCATTGGAATAAAGCCTTTTAAAGTCTTGAACATGCCTTAAACACAAAAGAAATTTAGAGCAACTGAGCATATTTAGATTTTGTTTCTTCGTAAAGCAGAACCTACCCAATAGAACAAAGTACGTCTACTGTACCAAGACTCGTAACTTCACAGTAAGTTTATTACTAGGCGAGGGAATGTAGTGACTGAGAAAAATGATAGATTGCTTAATTGTTATCTTGCAAATGAGACGAGAAAAAGACCTCTATTGAGAGAGATTAGCCCTTGTGAGGGTAGGGGGCAGAAATGATTGTGCGCCTTACATGTTACAAGTTACAAACAAATGAAAACAAATCCAGGGTTTTATACAACATGAAATTAGCATGCTCAACGACATTCCATATGGGAAAATAATATTTAAAGTATATAAAACCACATAGAGCACTTGGCTAAATAAATCGAGTTAAAAGATAAAGACCAGTTACGGTCATGCGATTGCATTGTGAAAAAAACGTTGTGGAATCGATCAGAATAGGTTGATCATCTAGCATATAAGTATTGGTGTGTACTGCAAGGTTCTGGAATCATCAAAATGATAAGAAATTTGGCCCAGTCTTCGTCAAGTTACAAGCACTGTACACAGAAAGATGTATATCGGACTACGCACACGTGCGCGACACGTGCGTTTATCTCTCACACACCAATAGATAAACTAATTTACCAAATATGTCAATTAGTAGGCGGTTCCCCTCAAATTGTTTATCATCATGTATTAGTCAAAACGTACTCTTTCACATGATTGGTAATAAGAGCTTCCATTTCATTTTTTGAAATTGGGGCGTTTCCAATACTGGTCTTTACCTTTAACCTAAAAAGGCTGGGCTATTTGAGGTCTTAGTACGGCCGGGGGACCATTATGGTCCTCCTTAAGATCTCGACCGCAAACTTGAAATATGGATTGATGTGGAATTGCTGCTCGATTCCTCCACCAGCAAACAAGAGGTCTGTAACAAAATTTTCTGAACATTTCATGTTTAATCACAATCCTGGAACTTCCTTGTTGAGTAAGATGTCAATCAAACTTAAAAGATTGATGGATATAAGTTGTTACTGGTGTAACCAAGTTCATCCTCAAAGAAGTTCATCCGCAAAGCGGCCCATCGCCGCGAAAATTTGCACGCATGTCAAGTAAAGGTGTATAGAATAATATGATAATCTCAATTTTTTGAAAAATTCACTCATTTGCATATTTATGGTAATTTATGCAAATAAAGTCATACAAATCACATTTTTACCCATAAATCATATATTATTCATATTTAAGCATTATTTTTCACTACATATATTCATTAGACCATTCTAAATAATAATACCACATTAAAATTCGAAAGAGCCAGCTTATTCCTTATGTTATCCCTTGTTTTGATAATTTCTTATGTATTTCATTGTTTTTTAACTTATGTATTTCATTGTTTTTGTTGTTTTATTTCATTTATTACTACAATTCAACTATTGTGACTACCAAAACAACCACCTTAACTTTAAACAAGACCCAATAACCCATGTTTGATCTGTTTTTAGGAAAAATGACTTTTCCACATGTTTTGTACACAAATCACGAAAATGGGCGATTTTCGGGCTGACATACAAAGACAAAAGGTCATGTGACCTTGTAACTGTAGGTCCGATTTTCAAAAAAATTCTTTTAAAAGTTGCGCAAGACTCGAACAAAAAAAGTCAGTGAGCGGCGGGGCGCCATCCATATGCGTTCCCGAGCAATCAGAAAAATCGTGGAGGGGGGGGGGGGGGCATAATGCCCCCCGGCCTTATTAGGGTTAAAGAAACTGATACAAATAAAATGATACATCTAATTTGAAATAATTAAAGGACATTAATTCCCTACTTCCATCATTTGAAAATGATTAAGTCTGCATTTAAATTCAGCCAAATCCCCTAAACATCTAGTATAAAGTGGCAAATCGTTCCACATTGTGTCGCATTATAAAAGTAGGCTATCTTTTATGTACTGCAGTGTTACATAAGCAGGTTTAGTACTTTAATTGTTCTTTTTTCTTCTTTCTACTGCAACGTTATCGACTGGAAAAAATAAAGAGGTCAATGTAAAAGGAACAATGGAATAGAAACATTTACAAACAAGACAAGCCATGACCCTATCCAACAGTTGATTATATTTGAGGGACTATAGCGACCGAGTGAGAATGTGTTCGTTTCGAAATGCTGAAAGTGTGCATGTTAGAGCAAGATAAAGCTTATTAAACATCTTTGTAATGCATGATAATTACATGTCATTTTCTTGTGACGGGGCCCCTCTACTTAAATGATTGGGGAGGGGGCAGAAGCCTGTCTCGGCCTGGGACGGAAAAGTGGCAAATCTGGAAGCAAGACAGTCACGGTACACCTATTTGGGAAAAAAGAAAGAAATAATGTTCAGGAATTTGTGTTTAAGCGGCAAAGATACGTATTCCGCCCTCTTTTGGGGAGGGGGGGGGGGGGGGTTGAAGGGTCCGCGGTATATCTGTGATTAAATTGGTCTAAAGTGAAACACACGTATGAAATATTAAAAAAATAAAAATACAACAACTACACCCATTTCCTCCCTCGAAGGCCTATGCTCTTTATCCACCCTCTCAAATGGCTGCAGCCTCCAACCCTCAATCCACCACTATACCGCAGTTTGTATGTATATCAAATCATGCACATCTTGATCGCTCTCCTTCACTCGGGTGCACTGTAAACTGGTTGTCTAAAAAAATGGCAAAAAGATTTCGATTGGCAATATCATTTGTTGTTTTATTTCATTTTAACTACAATTCAATTATTTTGACCCCAAAACGCCTAAACTATAAACAAGACCAAATAACAAATGGTTCATCTCTTTTTTGGGAAGAATGATATTTCTGTATGTCTTGTACACAAATTACGAAAATGAGCGATTTTCAGGCTGACATGACTTTGTAACGGTGGGTCCGAATTAAACAAAAATAGTTTCAAAAGATGCGCAAGACCCGAACAAAAAAAGTCGTAAAATGTCAACGCAAGATTTTTTAGCATTAAAAAATCATCGCAAAAAATGTAGAGGGTGTTTGAGGCAGGGTATTCTACTGGCACTACTTCAGGTTTGTGTATACTGCTAGCTCCTGATCTTAATATCCCCATGTGTCTCCAGCCATGCCCCTCAATTATGTATCATCAACTTAAGACTCATGGGTGATGATAATAATAATAATAATAATAGCTAGTTCTTATATAGCGCAGGAACCAGAAATCTTTCTATATACACCTTGGAGCAATTAAAAATACATTAAAGCACTGGTAGCGATATCATAAAATACGCTGCCTTTAAAAGGTTTGTCATGGAGCTTATCAAGTGCGAAGATGGGTAAATTTGCAAAGCCATAATGTTGCACAAAGCACTCCTTTGGTCAATCGATGCCTATAGTTTAGTGGAAAATTGCATATGTGGCAAACCGACTGTTCAGAGAGAAGAAAGCAACCGAAGTTTTCAAAGATGCCTCGGCCTATTTAAATGTAAAAATACCTTTGTGAAGACTAAATGATCAGAGAAACAGGGATGATGGGACAAATAATTTTAAAATATGAACATTTGAAAGTACACAAAATTATCTACAATTTTAGAAATTCTCTCAAATGATAATCAATGCTTCTGTATGTATGATCATACGGCAAGAACTAATATTCAGATCGATAAATAATAATAAAAAGTAATGATAACATTTATATTAATGATAATAAGACATGAGAATTGGTATGTCGGAAACCCTTTTCAAATCAAATTCACAATTCGCAAGTTTGAAAAAAAAGGAAATCACTTAAAAACATCTGCATTATAAAAGTAACAGCAGTAAGATAGAACATACACAAATTAAAGAACAAATAATCATATACTTTGTTAAAAAAGTTACCCCCAAATGTCTGGTCCTATTTATAAGTAATTCCCTTTTTTTTTTAAATAAAGAATTTAATGAAAAAGTATTACCTTAAAGCAGGGTGGAAACTAGGGGGTAGGGGAAACCGTTTACAGGTATTTTTTCCTTGAGCAGTAAAGGAAACAATAGTCCTTCTTGTTTGTTCTTGACGGATAGCACAACTGCAATGGGCCATGAGATATCTGCCTTTGAGGAAAAGTATGTCTGCTCCATCAAGAAACAGTTTCTTTTTCTCTTTTCATTAGCATGGGAACATCTGGCTGTTCGGCATTGGTAAATGTGAACGTTACATACAAATCATAACTAGAGTCTGATATTATTTGAAAATAGACTTATTGATAATACTCTACTTTGTTGTCATTTCGCATATAGGGAGATAAATACTCAATCAAAGAGCTGGTTGTAGATCATCAATTCCTAAATGGTCTACAGAGGTTTAATAACGGTGACATTAATGTCACTGTTGGAGACCTATTCCCGAGCTTGACACAACTGACTTTTACCTCTCTTCACACTGTCTCACCGGGAGATGTTGAACGGTT